GTGTTAACAAAGTTCTTGTACACTCATTTTCAGGATGTTAGCTACAGTTATGAATGCAATTTTTTTACAAGCTACAATGGAAAGTATTGGGATTCCAACAAGAGTGCAGACTGCCTTTAAGATGTCAGAAGTTGCTGAACCTTATATACGTAGAAGAGCTGTCAGGCATCTTGAGAAGGGAAGAGTGGTAATTTTTTCTGCGGGAACTGGAAATCCTTTCTTCACAACTGATACTGCAGCAGCTCTGCGCTGTGCTGAGAGTGAGTTGAACTTTTATAAACTGTTTGCTGAAATTCTTTTTCAAGGATGTTTATTCACTCTAATGTCAGATTTGTGTCTCCTGGCCTTTTGCTCATTTCTGTTCATCCAGAAGCAAACTGCTAATATGATTTTATTTTTATTTATGAATTTCTTGATCCATGACAAAAAAGGACGTGTTTTATATTGATTTCGTTGTGTAAACCTATGACCATCTAGTCCTTGTTATTAACCGGGTTCACTTTTTAAACAAAACGATGAAGTAAATGCTGAGGTGGTGCTGAAAGCAACAAATGTCGATGGTGTTTATGATGATGACCCTAAGCGAAACCCCAACGCTCGTCTTCTAGATTCTCTTAGTTATCGCGATGTAACTTCTAAGGATCTTTCTGTGATGGACATGACGGCAATCACTTTGTGCCAAGAAAACAATATTCCTGGTATATCCGCTTTTACGTATTTTGTCTTGCAACATTTTCTTCTTGGTCATTTATGTATTTGAAGAAAAAAATGCTTCTAAAATGGCATGCGTACTAACTGAAATACACTTTTGATTTATATAGTTGCTGTCTTTAACCTCAACAAACAGGGCAACATTGCTAAAGCCATTAGAGGTGAAAGAGTCGGAACTTTGATCGGGGACACCTGGAGCTCCAAAAGCACCAACTGCATAGAGAAACTTCCCAACAATGTCTCGGCAGAGGGATGAGTGAGTAATCTTCTTACAATATATTCTTTTCCTTTCTTTTTCTCTTAGAATGCTGAGCTCTCCATGAACTCAACAGTCTTGAATGATCTATTATAGGAAAATTGATTTTATATTTAGTTGGTTGTTCTTCCATTTTATGATATCTGGAATTTATTTTCAATGTTCTGCCTTTGCTTTTGACAGTACACTGGAAATATCCCATTTTCCTTTCAATTGTTTCTGCCTCCTTCGCAATTAAAGTCCTATGTGGAGACTTTTTTTTGCTCCATAAGAATCCTATCTGAACAAAAAACCTATATTGCGTTATATTTGATGTTCAAAAGAAATCTACTTAAATAAAATTAAAAATGAAACTAATATCAAAATAACGTTTAAGAAATCTACTTAAATAAAGTTAAAAATGAAACTTATATCCACCACCACAACAAGAACAATTCAAAGCCTTATCCCACTAGGTAGGGTCGGCTACATGGATCAAACGACGCTATTGCGCCCTATTCACGCGAAGGTCTCCCTTGATTAGTGCTATCGAACGAATATATTATTATTATTATAAAAATTATGACTTTAAAATTAACTAATTTTTTTGTGAAGCACTATTAATAATTTATTTGATTAAAATGTAAATGCATGTGGTTTTTCAATTTTACCATAATTAAATTATCTTCATTGTTACTACGATATTAGTTACTAATCCATACTTAATAATTGTTCAGTTAACTTTTAAAATGTAACGTATTTAGTTTAGTTGGCATCCAGAAATAAAAGTGTAAAAAATGATTGATTTCCTAGGAGCTTATGCATTGTTCGGGAACAATGCTTTACCTCTTCCTTTAGCCACAGGATGCTCTAGAGGTCTTCTTTCCACATGTCCAAATCATATAAGATGAGTTTCCACCATCTTTTCTACAATAGGCATCACTCTAAATTGAGCTTTCATATCTTCATTCCTTATTCTATCTATACGTGTGTGCCTGCTCATCCAACGAAGCATCTTCGTTTACGCCACACTAACTTTGTGTTCATGTTCACCATTTGCTGCCTGTCAGAACCAAATCAACCAAAAGCTCAAGCTTTTGGTTGAGATGGTTCCTTGACATGGTATCAGAGTCTTGTTGACTAAGAGGTCACGGGTTCGAAACTCAGCGTCACCCAGTTTTAAAAAAATTAAGGTTTCACGTGCAAGGCTAAAAAAAAGACTATGCCTGCACGTGAGGGGCGTGTAAGAATATAAATAAAGGTTACTGGTTTCGATTTTGGATTCCACCAAGAAGACGAACAATTGAGACAGAAGTGATGATTTCGGTTTTAGGTTTAGAGCTTCAAACTCAGTGACGGATTTAAGAAAGGAGTGCGAGAGGAGGGAGGAAACTTAATTAAGAAAAGAGAGGAGCGTGAACTTACAATTCTATCCATGTTTTTTTACGAAAATGTTAACAAAGGACCATTCGTGGAAAAGAATATAATAATTGGGGACTAAATTATTTATATTTGATATGTAGGAACTTAAATATGTAAAATGAAATATAACTGAGGATTTTTTATGACATTTACTCTATATTTTTATATGAGTATAGTAAGCAAATACGTATTCTCTGATAAGCATTTTTTGCAGGATCCATTATCCGCGCTCTAGTTATGTTAACTGCGCTCCAATTCCCTGCCTGTGTTATGAAATTGACAATACTATCCATGGTAATTAAAATGGAGTACTCCCTACAATTTAGTTTCCGTGTTTCTATGGTGTAACTTGGGTGTATATGATACGGAGTATTTGTGGATTTTCTTCAATAATTTTTTTTTTCCATTTTTTATTAAAAAATACATGTTTATTTAAGTAATAAGAAAATGCTTATTTTGCTTATTTATAAATGGGTGGTAGCGTGGAATCTGCCTTTCAGTTTTCACCTTGGAGCCTCTCTATCCAATCTCAACCGGCTTAAAACCTCATTTATCACCCAACCTCTCACCATAACAGGATTTTGAATTTTCCTTCAATTATACTCCGTCCGTACTGTCCTTTTTCTTTTAAATTCGTTTTCTTTTCTTCATTTTTTATTAATTCTAAAATACGGAGTAGAGACTAAAATATGGAGTGTCATTAACAATATTTAACAATAGTGGAGTGCACTACCCTTATAAATTTGTAAATGACTGCATATTTATAGACCGTTTGGTGGGGGAAATATCTAGAGGTGGCAATCGGGTCAACCAGATCAGTTTCGGGTTGAATTTTTTCAGTTTGGATATCTTTCGGATGTATGTTATAATTAGTTCGGTTCGATTTGGACCAGTTTAATTTCAGTTCGGATTTTATTTAGTTCTATACATTTTTCGGTTCGGTTCAGTTTCGAGTCGATTCAGATACAGTTCGATTATAAATCAGTTCAGATACAATTTGAATCGGATATATTTTGATTTCGGTTCTAGTTCGGTTCGCATATATTTTGGTTTCGGGTCAAACATATATTGGATATATATTATTTTCTAATTAAAATTTTATTATCCATGTTTCTTTTTATGTTTTATCATATTTATCAATCTATCATCAATTCAATACTTCATATTATTTTATTTTTTTTCTAATTATATTATCTCTACCCTAAACAATCTTCCCTTTTTGACTTTTTAGTCATATTTTACAAATTTGTACTATAAATTATGAAAAAATATATACTCCCTCCGTCCTCTTAAGATGTTCTCATTTTGACTTTTGGTGGTTTTTAAGGAGAGTTGAAAAAAGGTGAAAATTTACCATAATACCCTTAATGAAAAATGGGTGGAGTGTATTAAATGAGGTGGGTGAGGTGTAATAAATAAAGTAAGTGGGGGTAGTTGTGGTATTTTAATTGTTAAAAAATGAAATGAGAAGATCTATTGTGGACAAAGAAAAAGGGCTATTGAGAAGATCTATGGGGGACGGAGGGAGTATTTAATTATGATATACTCCCTCCGTCCAGAAATAATCTTCCCACTCTACGTTTTTTTCCGTCCGGAAATAATCTTCCCACTCTACGTTTTTATCAACACTCTTCCAAAAATACCCCTCATTTTACTCGCCAACCTCTCACTTACTCTCTCTCTCAACCACTCCTTTTTTCTTCTTATCTACTCCAGTACTCCGTACTTCTCCCATTTTTCCCAATCTTCATCCTTCCTCTTCATCGTAAGTCTTCTTCATCCTCTCTCTCTCTCTCTCATTTCTCGTCCTTCTTCTCCCGATTGGATCTACTCCTTGACTTTCTTCTTCTTTTTCATCATCTTCTTCTTTCTCTTGATTCTTTGTCTCTCAGATCTGTGAGATCTCCGGTGGCTAATCTCTTCATGTATCTTCTTCTTATTTTTTCTCCTCCTCTGTCCCCACCCTTATTCTTTCTCCTCCCTTTTCTTTTATTCTCAGACATGGCGACGGTAAAGTTGAGATATTTCTTCTCCTTTCTTGTTTCACTTTTTTTAGATCTAAGATTTTGGGACAGGGGTGACGGAGATGACGGCGAATGAGGGGCTGACGGTGGCGGCAATAGGGCATAGGCGAAGGTGGGGCAAGTGGTGGTGGACGGTGGTGGGAGCTGTCAAAGGTCGGCGGAGCAAGGGGTGGCGCCGTGGCGGGTTGCTGGACTATGGCGTGGGACATGAAGGCAAGGGACATTTTGGACAAATTACACATATAGTCAACTTCCACTAAAAATAAGAAAAAGTCAAACTGGGAAGTTTGATTCCGGACGGAGGGAGTATATTTATGGAAATGGCACTAACCAATGGAGGACTGCGAACTTGTTCCATCCACCAATACCAATAAAATTGACCAGAAAAAAAAACCACATTTTCTACTAAATACGGAGTGAATTTTAAATTTACATTAGAGTAAAACCCCTTGTCCTGCGGCATTGATGATTGGTGATTGGAGTTTGGATCCACAGTTACATTGTCATTAAAATGTTTTTTTTTTCCTTGTTTCTAAATCGGCACAATAAGGCCAAATCGTTAGCTACATTAGACAAGTACATAAATTTAGAGAAAAATAAAATAAAGATTAAAGAAAATCCTAGTCGTAGCAAAAACTTACCAGTTACAATTGACTGCTAATTGCTGTCAGATTAAAGGGAAAAAAAAATGAATATCTCTGTCCCCAAAGTCAAAAGTAGAATAGATTGAAATGATCGAGAGAGGAAGAAGGTGGAGAAACCAGTGGAGCGGAAAGTGAAATCAATGCCGACGGGCTCGGACTGAGCATGTTGTTATTCATGAACATCAGAGATTCAGATGCCTGATGAGAGAACAGCCCCGACGGGGACACGGGCGGCAAACTTGTCGGTGACGGCGACAGAATTCCCCGGATCTGGCTCATCTGAGCCGTTGATTTTTCAATTATCTGTAGAACATCGGTACTGGTAGTCGCTTCAGAAGCCGCCGTCATCTCCGAAGGGCTTGCTTTCTCGATGGAAGCGAGCCTCGCTGCCGGGGACAGGGCGCCGGATCCGCCGGCTGCGGCTGCGGAATCAGCCCCCGTGAGGCGCTGAACCACGTTCATGAAGTCACCGACGGTGGTGTGGATGACTTTAGGAGAGACCGCATAAATTATCACCGGCTGGGGGTTCTGGGTTGTCGTCGGCGCCGCCGCGCGCGGTGGAGCAGCCGGCCGCGGCTGGGGGGCCACCGGGGGTTTCTTGATCTTGTGAGAGTCCTTGTTGACTCGGAGAGGCGCTGGGCGTGGACCTTGTAGCTCTTTTCTAGTCGGAGACGGCCTTTCGTTGAAATCGTGGAAGCCGAAGGTATTATCCGGCGGAGTTGAGTCCATGCTCGTGGGGGCAGGGGGAGAAAATTGGTTATTGAAATTTCCAAGTCTTGAAAAAAAAAACATTAAAGCAATGGGTTTGTGATTGATAATGATAGTTGTGAATTGTGATGGAGAAAAATCTGCAAAGTTACTTTAAAAAGAATAAATTAATAATACTCTTTTTGACTTAAAATATTTGTTCAACTTGATTTTTTAATAGTCAACTATGATGGAGTATTTTGTTTTGATTTTCATGATATTAGAAATCAATGTGACTCAAACTCCTTGCTCCATCTAAAAAAATACAGTAATAGATCTTATCCTGCCTAATTCTCCAACAAACCCTCCCACTCCGGCCCGACCCGAACGACCGAACTCACCCCTTCAATTGCACTTCCAAATTTAGTTGACATTAGAATCACATTTTGACTCTAATATCAACTAAATTTGGGGGTGAAATTGAAAGGAGTAGGTGGTGTGTTCGGGTCAGGTCGAACCGGGATGGAAAAGTTTACGAAGGAATTAGGTGAGATAGAAACCATCACTTTTTTGAACATAGCACTGTAAGGACCTCAATTGGAACCCGTGTCATAAAATGACATTGGGGTTTAACCCCTCCAAAATTACAATACATATTACCTATAAAATAATTTCATTAAATTTAATTTCTAAAAGAAATTCAAACAATTGTTTCCCTTATATAAATATGTTATGAGTATGTTGTTTTTAAGTAATTGTTCAATAAAGTTTGTCTACTTCGAATGGAAAAATTAAATTAGATAAATACTTTTGATCGAGAATGTACGAAATAAAATTTTATTCAACATCACGAAGAGAACCTATATAGTATGTTGGTGTGGATCGCGTCATCACGCCTAGAGATGGCAATCGGATCAATCGGATCGGTTCCGGGTTGAACTTTTTCGGTTCAGATATCTTTCGGTTATATGTTATAATCGATTCGGTTCGGTTCGGATCGGTTAAATTTCGGTTCGGATTTGATTTCGGTTCTATACATTTTTTGGTTCGGTTCGGTTTCGAGTCGGTTCAGATACGGTTCGGTTATAAATCGGTTCGGATAGATTTTGATTCGGATACAATTTGAGTCGGATATATTTCGTTTTCGGGTCTAGTTCGGTTCGGATATATTTCGGTTTCGGATATATTCGATCGAGTGCACTACAAATTATGAAAAAATATATTTTATGATGATATAAATTTAATATCATAATATTAATTTTAAAATTTAGTTTTGATATATTAAAATTTTATCACTTCAAATAATATTATGAGTAATTTACCTAAATAGGGCTAAAACACAATGAGTTTCCCAATATAGGACCATATGTTTTTATTTCCTAATGTAGGACTTTTGGTCATTATTAATTAGTCATTATTCAAGTAAATGTCCATTATTAATTTATTACTGGGCATTATTCCTCCCACTAAGACATTATTAAGTTATCTCTAAGGAATAAAAAAGTTTAATTCCTAGATTAAGAAAAAAAATTATGTTTTAGTATTATTTAGTGCAGATTTATTAATATCATTAATTTTATCTTTATAAATAAAAAGATAAAAGATAAATTCAAATCGTATTAGGATTGTGTTACCACTTTTTTGGGGAAGATGAGTCGAAGCAACTAGTTTTTATCTCGTGCTTTGCACTGACTCGCATACTTTTTTTTATAAGTATATCTATTTAAAAATGTTACTCCGTATTATATTAAAAAATAAAACTCACATTAAATAAATAAGAGAAATTTGGATATGATAACTTATTGTAGCCAAACTATTACTCCCTCCGTTCCTAAATAAACTTCCATTTTGACTTTTTGAAAATTTAAAGGAGGAATATTTTTTGTGTTGACTTTAAAAAAATACCTTTGATATGATGTGTAAATGCAAGATTCTCATCTCTATTTTATTACTGGTTTGCTTTATTTTATCGCATGTATGCTTAGATTTGGAAAAAGTAATTTTCATATGTTTTATGTCATCTCTATTTTATTGCTCATTTGCTCTATTTTTTGTAATATTTCTAAAACATGTAATCCATTTTATGAGGGAATAAGCAAGTAATATAATTAATTCAAATGGTAAAATAAAAGTAAAATTTTAAAAGCATAATATGCTTATTGAAAGAAAAACATACTTCCAAAATTATCGATGTAGGTTCTAATCGGTTTCGGATATAATCGGTTTTGGATCTAATCGGTTTCGGGTTTTATCGGTTTCGGATATTATCGGTTTCGGATATAATCGGTTTCGGGTTTAATCGGTTCGGATATTATCGGTTTCGGATCTAATCGGTTTCAGATTTAAATCGGATATGAATTATTTAGTTCGGTTTAGTTCGATTCGGATCATTTCGGGTTTTCGGTTATAGATCGGATCTTCATTTTTTGGGTCATTTCGGTTTCGGTTTCGGATATTTCGGTTCGGGTAATCGGTTCCGGTTCTGTTTTGCCAGCTCTAATCACGCCCATCATACCATGTTATTCTTCGGAGCTTTTCTCTTTCCGATTGATGGGTGTATTCCACTCAGGACCCGGTCCGATTCCATGTCCACAACAGTTGACCAGTCAAGATGCAAACATATCAAGATGGAAGATCTGAGCTAAAAGTAGAGTACAGGTCGAGTCCAAAAAAGTCAACCGGTACAAACTTTAGACTCACCGGTCAGAGTACGTGACTCCAAGCTGGTGGTCTTCTACCTCTTCAGAACGTAGAAGAGGGGTAAACCTACCGGGTAGGTTACTACACTGTAAAAGTGTTGGCACGAATAACTCCAAAGTTGGTTGGACGATAGTGACCGATTTCAACGAAAGATTGATGAAATATTCCCTCAATCTCAGTTGGGCGCTACGCGCCAAAGGAGGAGTCATCAGCACAAGATGACAAGGGAATAGGACAAAATGTTATGGGACAAAAAGAAGTCACCTCGCGCCATCTAACAACGTGGGTTGATGTGGACGTGAGGCGCTCTGTCCCCTCCATTTCCTTATAAATACCCGTGTAACCCTCGAATGAAAAGATTCAAATTTTATCTCTCTAGAGTTCATATTGTAATAGCGCCTAGCACTCTCCACAAACTTAATAACAATTAGACTATAGGTGTTTCCACCAAGAGACCTACCGGTCACTCTCTGTTTTCATGAACCTTTTATTCTCTAGATTCAGCGAACTATTCAAGACCCGGTATAGTACAGTTTGCCCGGGTGGTTAATTTACACCATCATTTTTGGCGCCGACCGTGGGACTGTTAAGGTTTCCTTTTTCAAAATGTGTTCAAGTCAACAAAACACCACTACCTCTGTCCAAGTGCAGGGCACCAATGAAGGGGTGACTAGACCGGTGGTCACCTCCTAACCAGCTCTCTTTGCTACGGTGATACAGATGGGCCTAAGCCATGTCACGGCTCCAACCATCACCACGCCATTCGCAATCTTGATTCTTTCTGCTGGGCCAAGGGTCATATTTCCACCAAGCATTACACAATTCATGAATGACCCTTTTGATGCATGTAAGCAGGGTCTTAATAATGCAGTTAGCTCAAATGAAAGCATAGATAGTTCTGCTCAGAGCTGCCTCAATTATGCAAACTAAATTCGGTTGCCTCATCTGCACAACAATTGCAGAGCTTTCAATATTCACGCACTACCTTTCCAACCCTCCATTCCAATTCTGAAGCATCCCTAACAAGGCAAATCTGTAAAGGAACTGAAAGACATGACAATGGAATCAGAGCCAAAGGCTAACAGTGGAGGTCTCCGGCAAGGTAGGTCTCTAAAGGAATTGAAAGCATTGGCATTCCATAAGGTGGCAGTTCAAACAAAGGCGGTTACAACCAAACCCTTGGGCCTTTTAGACTTGAAGCTAATTTATGAACGCTCCTCGCAAATCAGCCTCATTGATATGCCTTTAGGGATGAATGGAGAACATAAGATGCAAAAGGATGGGGGAGATGAGGTTTTTGAAATTGTACCTGACAGAATTGAGATGCTTGTTGATGATGAAGACTCTTACAATCTAGAGGCTAAAATGGAGCTTGATGCTATTCATATTTTGAATGACTCCAATCCCAAAGGATGTGTGAAAGGAAAGAAGAAAAAGAAGAAGTATAACAAAAACAATAGCAGAAAAAAGAAGATATGATCTTGTTATTCCGTGTTTCCTTTTTATTTGATTTATTTGTTGGTGAACTTCTTATGTTGATTAGAGGTAGGTTCTGTTTGGTTTTAGATTTGATGTGTATTGTAGTTATCTTTTGGAGTTAGTCAGGCCTCTGTAGGGGTTCAGCCCGCCCCCCTCCTTTGTATCGTGTTTTCTTTTATTTATAAATAAGGCAGGGCTTCCCTGGGCCTGCCACACCCTCGGGTGATTTTTCAGGCCATATATATATATATATATATATATATATATATATATATATATATATATATATATATATATATATATATATATATATATATATATATATATATATATATATATATA